TCCCAGGAAAATGTGAGCCGACTTGGATCTTAGGCTCGGCTTGCTTTCGGAACAGAGCCTGCGAGGTACGGTACCGGTTTTGTGAGTACCGTGTGAGTACCGTTCCCTTGTATCCGGTTACCTTAGCAGTACCTTTCCGGAGGCACGACTGAGTTTCCGTAAAGAAAAGCCGACAATGATGTAGGATCAATCGGCCTATACCTTTCACTCGCGGCCGCCGTAACCAAAGCGATTAACAAAGAAACTGGCTGGTGTATCGTCTCAAGCACCCTCAGGTTAGTAGGTGGACCACTTGTCTGGCGCTACCACTCGATTGTTGTGTTTCGGCGCTTCGAGTTGATTTTTGTCGCGATTTTCTTGTTGGTGGATAGGTTGATGCTTTCCACTCGCCGATCTCGAAAGGTAGGCCGGCTGGTAGGAAGATAGTCGTTGTATCTTTAGAGGATCCCTTGGTTGATAGGTGGACCAGTGGTACTCCTCAAACGGTCGCGATTCCAGTTTTCGGTCGTTCGCCGTGTCGGTAGGCCTTTGGTCAGTTCGTCAACTCGCTCTCTCTTCTTCACTCGGTTTCACACTGTTTGCCACTCTTGTGCTTGTCTTGCGACTAGTTAATCTATGAATTCCAGGTAGGAACTCAGGGTAGGTGCACAAGAGCTGGGATGGAGAGCCCTGTTTGGTGGAGATCTCCTTCCACTGGCGCTGGAAAGGCCAGCCACAAGGCTGGCAGCCAATGCTATTCAATCACTGTGGAAGCAATGATTGAACAGTCTAATTGCTCAATACCCTGGCACTGGCATACAGGATCCTGTCTACTGCAGAGCTCTACTTGTGCTGTTTGGGTCTGTCTCTCAGGTCAACTACTTCTCATTACTTCTTTAAACTATATATATAACACAAACTCTGATTTTGCGTGAAACTCCATCCAGCCATGCAGGATACAGATCCATGCATCTCTTTTGGCTGGTATATACCAAGCTATCTTTCTAGATAGGTCATGGCTGAGGAATTGCATCATCCTTCCTTGCAGAGGAACTCTATGTCCTCTACAGCTGTTCTATCTTGTCTGATGGTGACACAGCTCATTGTACTGAAAGAGTGTACAGATGCAGCAGCGATCTTTCCACCAGACTGAGCCAGCACAGCTGCGCCGCACCCATAATATGGCTCCTATGGCATAATCTCATCGTCTTCTTCTTCTTTCTTCTCCTGAAAGCCCTCAATATTTCACCACTAAAGCGGCGCCATAGGATAGTCAATGAGAGGATGCACATGAGGTAACGGAGAGAGGCTGGCTAGTGGCCGAAAGAGGAGGAAAAGCGCCACTGTGCCTCTTTCTTAAATTTTCGATCGATTCAAAAAGATGTGGAAGGAGTGGCTCCACGCTGGAAGGGTACCTTCATTAGAGTTGAGGCTAATCCGTTACTGGTTATATTTATTTAGCTATACAAATTACTAGAGTATGGCCTGCAGGCTCTATCGCGCTTATTAAGACGAGGCAGAGGAACTCATTCATTTGATACGACTGTGGCTGGGGAACGGAAACCAGAGGAAAAGAGGTGGGAAAAGCTGGGTCAAAATGAGGATTGCCCTCAACGGACTGAGGGTCTTTCACACTTTTATCGCTGTATGTGTATGTGTGTGTGTTTGTGTGTGTGTTTGTTGCAGCTGTTTTCGTCGCTCGTTAAGGATAGGGATTAATCTTGTGTGTTCTGTTGGACACAGTAGTTTCTACGCATGGGTACCAGTACTGGCTGGCTATGCAGACTCGCTAGTGTGTCCAGATAAACACGGTGGAGGTTTTGCCAAAGACATAAGGGACATTTTCCTTGTTAAGGATAGGGATTTATATTGTGTGTTCTGTTGGACACAGTACTCTGGACCCATGGGTACCGATACCACTGTGCCCGTACTGGCTGGCTAAAGAGACTTGCTATCAATAGTGTGTCCAGTTGAACACGGTAAATGATTTGACCAATCAAATCTCTTTTTGACAGTTGAGGGGATCAGCCTCCGGCTGCTTGTTCTTTGTCACAAGTTAGAAAGTGATCTTTTAAAAATTCTAAAATACGATATTATGATTAGATATTATACGGTATTGCCGATCCGTCTATATTGCAATATATATCAAAATGCAAGAGTATTGCAATAGATTAGTAACCTTAGTCGTGGAATCCAAATGAACTTCTTGGTGCATTGAAGGAGCTACTCTCGAGTAGTGCAGGGTCCTCCAGGGCCGCACCATCATCCGAAAGTACACACCTCCGTTATCATTCTTAAGCCTAGGTCAGCCACTGGCTTGAGCAGTTCACGAGCCTTGCTCTTTGCCGTTCTTCCACAATACATGTTCTGATCAAGAGTGTCCACTTTCTGGGGCAGGCTTTATAGGTTTTACTGACCTCTGCAAGTACGTGGCTTGTGTGCGATTGTGTGTTGTGTGATAGAAGCGTGTTGCCACAAGGTATGGAAGCGCTAATCTACTTTCATCCCCACAGTTGCCGACTGTCCACACAAGCCGCCTAACCGGGAACGTAGTCCGACTGAATGAACTCACTGATCACTCCAAAGCCTTGGCCCCAACAGGGACTTTTACTCGCCTTTCAAAGCTCCAGGCAATTTTATTTGTTCATAAAAATTCCGAGCCTTCAATCGACAAGCACACCGAACACAATCTTCAAAACTCTTCCCTTATGCGTTGCTCCAGCTTGCTAAACTCTCAACTCTACATCAACGATAATCAGAACACAGTCCACACCATGGCATCCATCTCCAACAACAGATTCGAACTCCACAAACGCGTGTCTGGTAAGTACAGAATGTTGTAATGACTGGCGTTAGGTACCAGGTAGCAGCATCACCAGGTAACTCTGTCGCTAACAACGCACGTACGAATCATCTACGAACACAGGCAAGCAAGTGACAACCGTCTACTCGGGCAAGTGGACAATTGAAGAAGAACGGTATGTTTCCTTCTTGTGCCAGCAATTCAAGGACGGAGCTCTTGATATCAAAGAGGGCACTACCTTGAGGAGCTTCTTGGCTGATAAGCTAGGATGTAAGGCAAAGAGGATCACCAAAAAGTACGAGCGCACCGGCTACAATGGAAAATTGCAGTTTACCGACAAGAGGAATACCTTGGCTCCAGCTGACCTTCAGTGGCGACGGGCCAAGTTGCAGGAGACGCAGCGCAAGTTCGTTGAAAGCCGTGAGGCCATCATCATGAATGAGCTACAAGGACCTCAACAGGACGAACGCTCCATCATGACCGGTGCCTTGTTTGCCGGAGGTGCTGCAGCCCACCGCGCTTTGGATCTCCGAGAACCTCGGCAGAACATCGGGATGGGGTACCACAGTGCCTTGACCTCATTGGACTTGCCATTTCCCGCTTCTCTCGCTGCTGGCGCCTCATCGGCATTGAATGCCCCACGAGCAGTCCCCAACCTGCATCCACACAGTGGATCGGATATGATGCGGGCTAGTTTTCTGGCGGCCCAAGCTCAGCCACCAATGGCTGCCAACCACCGCAGGCTCTCATTCGCCAACGAAGGACTTCCATCATTTGCCGGTCCATCACTAGAAGCCTTGCGAGCAGAAGAAATGGTGCAGAGGGAACTTCGACGCACCTCTATGGATAGTCTGATTTTCCGCCAAGAGGCCCTGCTGAGAGCTCGAGCCACCATGGAAATGAATGCCCTGATGCGGGGATCAGCAGCGGCAGCATCTGGGTCCGAAGGGGTAAACGCTGCTGCTTCTCTTGCTTCTGCAAATAATACGCAGACTGGTGTCCGTATGCGCGAAGAAGATCTGCAAACCCTAGCCCGAAAGAGGGCCCGTGTTTCAGGCACTGGTTTCCGCTTCTAGTAGACATATGCCATAGAGTCATTCATCCGTCTTGTCGGCTTCCATCTTCCTCCGATCTTCCTTTCTATCATATGATTACATAAAATAGCACCGTCAGTAATTTATAAAGAATCCAATAAAACGCTTTTCAACCAACTTAAACAGCGAAGTCGTCGGCTCATATCGGTAGCTTGTCACGTCTGCTGTTACCCCGGTCCCACCAAAGGGTGTACCTACGCTCGTAACATCATCCGGGCTAGCCACGAACACTGCCGCAACCTTGCTCAAGAAGGAACATACTAGTACCGTACTAAAACGAAGGAATGGGGCTGATGCTAGTATCTTTCGAACGGGGTTTGAAGAGTGCAGCTCTGATGACTCTACCGAGCAGCCAGCCAGCAAGAAATGTTGACCTTGTTCCCGTCTCCGAGATTTGTGGCTACTATGATAGCTAGACATGAGAATTTCAGATTCTTCATTGGGAGGAGCAAACTCAACCCCTGGTCCACTTCGCCCATTGGAAATTGCTAGACATCCCCTTCCATTCCCAAGGCGAGAGTGCATTGTTGACCTCAAGCTCGAAGCTTCAGCAAAACGAAAGCTACCGTAGCGAGATCTTTTAGAATCCACGAATGGAATCGAATCTTTGTAACCCTAAATTTGAGGTTAGTGACGTGTTGACGAGAACAGTTTCTGTTGTTGACGACGAAACTCGGCGGAAAGAGACAAAGAGGTCAACCGAGATGGATTGGTCAACCACTATTGTGTTGGTGCATTACCCTCTGCAGAGATGGTTCCTTCCGTCATGACAGGGACAAGGAGGTTCCTTATCGCTATCCTTCTTCCGCCACTAGCAGGAGCATTTGTCACGCATCTCAACTGGAGCCCAGGTCGAGTTCTCCCCACGAGTTTCGAAGCTTCCAGCTCGTACTTGAAACCCAAGATCCCAGGACCCACTACGGTGCTGCAATCGCAAAGATTGACAGTCGAAGTGGATGCTAGCCTGGATGATGAAAAGGTCCGAGCCCTGTTTGCATGGATTGCCAGAGCCTACGCTGGCGAATATGAATACAACAATTTGATGCTGGCCATTGCTGCCATTTTTGGAAACCTTCCGCCCGATTCCGAGCCTGTTTTATTGGCAGAGAAGGCACTGAAGTTGCTACCCGAGGATGCCGAAGAAACGCCTTGTGGCGAACCATTTTCTCTCTATGAACGTGAATCGAATTCTTTGGGAGCCATGGGAGCAGCTCAGTGGTCAGGAAGGTGGAAAACACGGCCTCATGCCTTGCTTCAGATACAAAATCTGACACATGTCGATGAGTGGATCAAGGGTTTGCCTCGAGGTTGTCGACGAACCTTGAAACGAGCAGTTGCATTGGAAGAAGGGGGCAATTTTACTGTTCGGACGCTACCTATTTATGGCAATCAACCCGCACCGCATTCCTGTTTGGCTCATTTTCGCTGCGTGGTGGCACACGAAGTAAGATTGCTCGCCAATGCAAGAGATGGAGCTGACGTGTCGGATTTCTTTTCAGCCTTGGGAGAGGCAGTCGGAAGATACATGGGAACAACTCGCATGGCTGGAGAGATCAGAGAATACAGCAATAGTACCACCGGAAAAGTCATTGCTGTGGCTCATGAAGGTATGTTTTGCACGGAAAGAAATGCAGTGTCTATGTGTGTGCCCTATGGCATACCTCCAGTTCAATCAATCAACTTGGCTTGCTGATTAAATCCTCCTCGGTTCACGCTTCATGTACTTTGTTACAGTCCGCAAAGGTAGAACCACTCGAGGCCAGTGGTTCTATTGTACGGATGAAGCGGCCAAGAACTACATTTGGTTCCATTCTGTATATGATTTGGTGCGTCGGTCCATTGAGGCTGATGGCGTCGATGTGGTAGACTTGGGACCCAGCGGATCCGATGCTTTTAGCGAACTGAAGGAGCGCTACGGATTTCTATCCGTGGATGATTGGGTAAGAGCTTGCAAATGATGTGATTCTATGTGAACCCTTTCAGGTTGTCCTCGTTTGTCTTCTAAACTTGACTTTTGTGGCATTACTTAGCCCGCTGTGGCAGACTATGAAGGACCGTTTTGGTACAACCAAACTGGGACTCCGAAAAAAGGTCTTACTGGACTAGCATCATTCCTGGAACGGCAATTGGGCATTGACTGAGGACACAAGGCATGACAACATGTTAGAACGACCCGTAGCTTGCTTTCTTGCTCCCTGTCAAAACGTGTAGATACTTTGCTTTCTGGTTCAATCGAATCCATACTTTTTAGGACAGTCCATGAGCACAGAAAAGTTCTCAATTTTGAATTCAATAATTACCACACAAAGCGAATAACACTAGCTAGTTACAGTGGTTCTGTCGTGGTTCTCCGAACAATCATGGCTTCAGCAACGTTTAGTCCGCACCAGATTGCAGAGGACGCATTATTGATCCAAAGTAGCTACTGGCCCTTAACGGTAACGATGTTGCTATGACTTTGCTACCTTAACCTACCGGTATCAGCACAGCCTCCATCTATTCGTGACAGAAGCAAAGGCAACCCAAGACACTTTCAAACAGAAACCATGTCACGATACGATGGAAAACGAATACCAGCGTGAAACTCGAGGGTGTTTCTGGGGACGTTCCGTCGTTTCATCATCAGACGTGGGAGTGGGGCTAACGGAGTGAGACAAAACCTTCGCTGCACAATTGGATGCTTCCTCTTCGGCCTCCAAGCTAATGAGTGCTGCATCCATCATTTGGATTCAATCAACCAATTCAGATACTGTGACAATCCCATTTGAAATGAAACCATTGAAGAACATTTGCATCATGCGACAATACCATTGTGCATTGATTAATCTAAGGATCTAAGAGATGTAAAGTTTGTATTTCCAAATAAGTG